ATAACTTGGAGATCACTTTAAAATTCTGAGTTGTTTGAAAACTTCAAAAAAGTTTAATTTCTCCCAACTAAGAGAACAGTCCTGAACAGTCCACAAATTTTGAAGTGACAATTTTACAAAATTCCCAACTTTTCGCGGTTTTTTCGACTTGGAAAAGTTGGGAAATTTCGGCCCGTGAAGGTAGAAAAAATATTAGAAAACAATAAGCACAATATTATTTAAGTGTTGTTGTTTCCATTCATTTGTATTGAATATTCCTATATATGGTGGAAGACCAAGGACCTTGGTCCAAAGTAGAATAATTCCCATTATTATTTTTATAAGCACAATATTATTTAAGTGTTGTTGTTTACATTCATTTGTATTGAATATTCCTATATATGGTGGAAGACCAAGGACCTTGGTCCAAAGTAGAATAATTCCCATTATTATTTTAATAATTACCAAAATTTATTTTTGTTTGTGCATACCCTAACAGGCATCAACTCAAGCAATCTTTGGATAGCTAAGTAAGAAAATTAATATATTAAATATACACGGATATTGGTATTTTCCATGTTGAAAAAGTAGGTAGTAAAGTTGCGTATAATCGGTGAATTCTGCATTCGTGCAAATATGTCTGTCTCAATAGAGACAAAACAGAAGTTTCCCAAAAATTGATCCTTGCGGTACTCTGTGTGTTACAGTAGCGATTTTCAATCTGATTCCATCATCTTGAGTTGAACTAGGTGAAAATTCAAATAAGGTTTTTGCACAGAGTTGAATAATTAAGTGAATCAAAAGTCTTATTGTAGTTAAGCAACAAAAGATGGGTTTCTGCACAGAGTTGTATGATCAAGTGAATCAAATATCTTATTGTAGTCAAGGAACCCAAAAGACTTCATATTTTTTCTGTCAATTCATACTAGATGTTATCTGTTATGTATAGAAGTGCTATAGAATGTTGGAGCGAAATCCAGATTAGACATCGGTAATGAGATTATTAGCCTCAATGAAGTCAGTCATTCAAATCATTTCAAGAACTTTGGACACAGTAGGTAAGATGCTAATTGGTCCTCAGATCGGATAATTCTGATAGAGATAAGCATTTTGTTGGGCAAGTGCTTGTTTTCAGAGGATATGAAAAGTGTTCTGGCTGTTTAATCTGTTTTTCCGTTAATCAGCTATCGCCCCCATACGAACGACAACTCTCAGAAGTTGAAAAACTTGTGCGAGCTAAGGACTAACGAGGTCTTACCTTTTAACGTGTGATTCGAATATATACATTGAAAATGAATGTTAAAATGATTGAGAAGGTAGCAACCGAATTCAGTCTTGAAAATTAGGTAAAAAAGTATTTTCAATGGTTGTGTGTTTAGCTGCGTTATACACATCAGTAGGCTGAAAAATAAACTCCGATTATAAATATTCGAGTTTTATTAATCGAGTAAAATAAATTTACTGTTGAACGATAACAGACTAAATTCATCATGTTATTTTGGTAGAAGTCAAAGTGATGACACTGCTAGGACAGATTCGATAAACCTAGCTCGAAAATTGACAATTTTATTTGTGTATCTATATTTTTATAAATATCTCCTTTATCGTTTCCGATATAAAAAGTATATCATCCAAGTTATCACGATTGGTCTGTCCGAGCTTTTTTGTGAAATATTTCTGTCAAGCACTGTAAATTATTCATCATATACAATCCGTAATTCTCAATTCTGTTAGGCTCCTATAAAATGGATTTGATCGCGTTCATCTGTAATCGAATAAGTAGGTAGCACTAGAAAATCATCGGCGTTCACCCAGTAATATTGACCCAGAAACTATGAGATAACTTCGTTATATCACCGGAGAAAGTTTCTGTTAAGGAATTCTCACTTTCTACACGCATCCATAATTGCGTAACGCACCGCTTATGCCTTGAACTTGCCATTGAACTTTCTTTTCAAGTGCATCTCTTTCATCTGAAATTCTGATGTAATCGATACGATGCTTTTTCTTCGTTCGGTGTGCTGTATTCAAAGGATATTCGATATTTTTTCAGTTGATAAACGGACAATGGAGAAATGTCTTGTGGGAGATGCAAAGATGGACAATACGTTCATACAATTTGTCAAATTAGATCCTGACTGTTGATGGATCTGCTCTGGGAATCTGTTCACAAAGATGTCTGGTATTCTCTTCAATAGATCTGGCGATCTATTGAAAAGAAATTGTGGCTTAAGAAATTTGACAAAAAATATTTGTCCCAATCTTAATAGTAGAAATGATTGTACTTTCTGTATTTCAATCTAGAGACAATGTATGAATTATTTCACAAGATAGGAAATTTACTATTTTGGTCGACATGAAAAGAGGATTTGAGTATAGTAATTGAAATGATATGAACATTTCAAGGAAAAATATCAAAGTACCTGATTGGAAATTCACGAACACTACTGAAAATTACAACACTTAATTTGAAAAATCAAACGTTGCATTGCAATTTGAATTATATTGGAACAACTTCTAGAATTTCATCGAGTAGAATAATCTCTTACAAAAATGATGATAAGATTAAATAAAAATTCCTGAAACAGGACACAATATTAAATCCAGTGAAACAAAAGTTCACTTGCAGAAATAAACATGTCCAAAAAGCTTAAATTGTATGTGTTAACAATGTTTTCAACCATATTTAAAGAAAACCAGGAGGAAACTTTCTGGTTAGTTTCTGTAACGCCCTGTTTGTTACAATAACAAAAGTTTTGAACGACACCGTATATTCCGATTCCCCTCATAAATCAATCCTTGCTTTATCCGTTGAACTTCAAATTCATGAACGTAATACCAGTCTTAAAATTCAAGGATGACCGATGAACCTTCTTTCAGATTCAAAGAGCTATTTATTATGCTTACTGTACCGACCACGTGACTGTTCGTGATCAAGATTTCAGCGTGCGATCCAACAATAAGGAATACGAATTGATTTGTCATTGATATGTGAGAAAGAAATCATTCGATCAAATGGAATGGGCGATCGATACTGTCGATATTATGGAGTCATTTGCGAATCCGTCAATAATTGCGGGCTTTTTCGATCCCGTCTCAAGGAAAAATCGGTTTCAGTCGAATAATTTGATAATTATTAGTATTATTATGGGATGCGTAAGCGCGGTGAAGCTCTGGGATTCGAAAGATGATTATGAAATTAATTTTTAACTGCTTCCAATTGCCATGTAAAATGTAAAACAAGACCCGTTTTCTGAAGAGCCGACATTCACCCATTATTTTGATAGTTCAACGTATTGTACAGATAAAATCACTATTGAGTTTATAGATCCTGGTGTTGAGGTAAAAAAACCATTTAGGATTTGTATATTCCGTTCAGTGACCCCACATCCACAGTCACCTCAAAAAACAAGTTTTTATTGGTGCGAAAACCTTGAAATATAATGCTATGCAGACCCATTGGATATTCAACAAATTCCGTTATCACAGAATGTATGAATAACAGATGTATGTGAAACTGTCAATGAAAAGGTCAAATATCCCAAATCTGCAATTTTAAACAGAAGTATTTCCCAGAACTGTGGTGAGATATAAAGTTATACTCATCTTGATTTGAAAATATTCATTTCAATTCCAAAAAAGTGTTTCCAGTGCATAGAAATATGAATCATAACCGTGAAAAAAATTAAATATTCATCTTCTTTCCTTGGCTTAGGCCTTGCTTTCAAGCCATCAAATGCTATTGTTTTCCCACATTATGATTTGATATACTTTGTCTTATGAATGCTTATACCAACACCTACGAATGAATTCAATTTCAATTGAACGTACATCAGTCTATAGTCTATCTCTTTAACAGCGGAGTAACAAATCATTTCCAAGTTGCTGTTGGTCTACCGGATTAAAGTCGCCTTCTGGCGACTATATATATATTTGAAATTGAGAATGGAGAAATGTACAATAAAATGGATTAACGGGGTCTCTCAGTCAAAAAATTAAAAATCAAAACTCTGCTTGACTTTGTCAAACTTTCGCTTCTAATGGGAAGCTTCTTCAGGGCAGTAAAAATGAGTAAAAACAATGAATCGAACATATAAATCGACGAAAGAAAGTTAAGCCAACTTTATCCCCAAATTCTGTTCATGAAGAGAACAATCAATTCGTTTTTTTGTTCTTTTTTTTTCAATCTGCTTAGTTTATACCATCTAAATTCATTGTGTTTTTCATTTGTCCAATGTTCTGTTCATTTTGTTTCCTCTTAATTTATTTTCTCCTGTAACATATTTACATCTGAACCCTCATCCTTCATCAATTTCCGTTTAATTCCACCATCTACTCAATTCCACCCGAGTATTTTTATTCTATAGTATTTCTTTCTCCTTCATCTTTAATCTTGTTCATATGAGTCACCTTTTAATTTCAATACAACAAGGGTCCATTTTGTGACCTATTCTGATTTTTATTCATGTCAATGACTTCGTTAATGTGATATCAGTGATAAATTCACATTTTTCGCTGTCAGCATATTATACAGAGTGTATATTCGTATTTTTGTTCACTCTCTGTCGATGTTGTACTAGCTTTTTTCCATAAATATCTCTAGGATATAAGAATATATCCTAGAAGTTCCTAGAATTCCGATATTACCGAAGATTGAATTGAAAATATTTCAAATATTTCAATTTTTTCTTGTACCAAATTTTCACATTTCGTATAGCTGCATTTTTCGAAACTAAAAAACATTGAATTATACGAAAATCACTTTTTGCCATTCAGTTTATACTCCAAACATTCGTTACGGAATTGAAATAGATGTCATCATAATACCCTCCTTTTTAATTCATAATGAACTTTGATGGCGCCAACTATTGTTTTTTCATCAGAAAGCGTCAAAATGGTTCCTTTTTGTGTGAATTTGATTCCACCTAGTGTCGTTCAAACGTTAAAAGAAAAAAAGAAATGTTTACTTCCGCAATGTATATAAACCAAGAGAAAATCTTCATTATATATTTTTTTTCTAGAACTCGAGAAGAAACCAGAAGACCGCTCCAAATCGATATCTCCCAGCCCCGAGCCGCCGAAACCCGACAATGGCCCTCCGCGACGTTTCATCTCTTCCATCCTCGGAGGGGACAAACCTTACGGGAGTCGAGGGCACGTGCTCACCCGGGCGGAACGTAAAGAATACCCCGCCTTGAAGCAAGAGAAAGTAACCATCCCCGCCGCCAAGAAGCCCCCCGAAGACGTGCCCAAGCCGCAGAACCTAGCCCCCATTAGGCAGTTTTCCGTTATCCAGCGCACCCCGAAAACAACGACCAAGAGGGAGGAGGATACCGATACGCGGATGCCGACGAATCTGGTGATCCAGGAACCGGAACAGGAGCAGCCGATCGACTACCACATACCGAAGAGACGTGGGGAGACGGAAAATGAGGAGGAGGAAAAGAGGCTGAGAGAGGAGAGGAGGAGTCAGTGTTCGAAAGTTAGCAAGCCGTTGATATCTGTGAGGTAAGTTATGCTAATAGTAATATAATAAATAGAGCAAATTCGGACCGGCACACCGGGAGGGAGAATTTTACTCTCCCTCTGGTACCGATCGTGGGTCTTCGGTGCTAACTACTGACTAGAATAATTACTTGATTCCTAAAACACAACAAAGGGTTGTCAACCACCTTCAAATAAACAACACAGGAGTTTCCACGACTGACCCAGTTGGAGGTCTCGAATACAATATGGTGGAGTCCAACTCAAAGATTTGCCTACTGTTGACAATCGCGATGATGCCAGATGCTTTGAGTAGAAACGCGAACTGAGAGACAGTGATGGTAAAAAAAACAACCGGACCATATTCCCTTTCAGACCAAAATCTGGGAGAGTATGTATCCTATTTTCATCGGAGAGGGAGTTCTACCTCCCGTTAGAGCCGCTCATTATGCCACCGGTGGAGCCAATTGGAACACGCAATATTTTCCACAAGAGTAGGCTCCTGTAACCACAACAACTTGCTCGGGTGCATGCAGAGGTTCATGATGCTTTTACAGAGGAGGGTGACATCTGGCAAATTGGCAATACCATTTATAGACCATTTCCAAACCAGAAGAGTGGAAGCCCGCCACTTAGGTTCGGAAATTAGAATAGCCAATACACAAAATAGTAAGAAGTTCGAGAAGTATCGCGGAAAATACCAAGTTCTGCGAGAATTTGTATATCAAGAGCATCCACGTGGATAATTTGACAACTGCCTATCGGGAAGAACCTTTCTGGAATAAGGATTCGCAACAACTCAACTCAGTCAATCTAGCTTAGCGTAATTCAAAACTTTCTTTAGAGACCAACAATAACGTGTTGTCAGTTTACTTCAATCAACCTATCCAGTGTCACTGCAAAATTCTACAAATAGTATTCTACAGTAGAGTAAAAAAAATGTTTCATTGTGCATTGAAAAACTTTTAAATAGTCAGGCAGTTCATTGTACAGTCCAAGGTCTCTTCGAATTTGTCTTTGATCTATTCAGTCTGAAACGTCGACATCTCAATAGGAGTCATTTTGGGTATATAGTTATGATAATACCAATGTTGGCATAGTGAGTTTTTTTGTTATGGATTTCTTTCCACACCTTTCGGGCACGTTAGTCATTTTTCATAGACCCGTTAGTAAAGTCATTAAAAATTGGTGTAAAATGTACACAGTAATTAAATATGTTTACAATGTGAAATATTATACATGATTCATATGTTTCTGTTATAATGATATCCATTTTTCAATGTGGTATTTTGTAAAGCTTCCTTGAAGTTTTAAACTAGCTTAATCTTCAAAAGATTTGTGTGAATGAGAAAGGTTATTCTTGTTTGTTTTCCGAAAAGTAATCGAGCTGATGTATATAAGTTGCCAATAACGAGAGTGTTTCGGAATTCTAATGACTTTTTGTAAACACTACCGTTGAGCGATTTTTTCAGATTTTACCACTCCGTTCACAGCTATACCACTACTATATTGTTTCAATAAAATCTATATCATATATAATTTCAATTTATGTATAGATGAAAAAATCTAATTTTTGTATAACTTTTATTTCTATACATTTCTAGATCCGTAGTTGGTAAGATGCCAGTGACCATGTCAGCGGCAGCTGGACACAGCAGAGGCTCATCCGGCAGTCAATCCGGAGGAAATCAATCGAATTCAACATCGTCTGGTGGCGGTGGCACCATCAACTTCAGCGGTTGTTCGTCAGGCGGTGGAGCGGGGGGTGCAATAGGAGGCGGTACCGGGGGTGGTGGAATGAACCCCGGAAGGGACGGAAGACAAAATTACGGGCCTAGCAGTCCTCCCACCGGCAGTTTGCCGCCTTTTTACGAATCTTTGAAAGGTAAAATAGAATTGCCAAATAGTTATAATGGAAAATTCAACTTCTTTTATTTACTTTAAGAAGTTTTGTGTTCTTGACGTAAAGAAATGAATCATGCATTCCATTTTCTCTTGGCCCTCAAGCAAGAGCATGTTTCAACATGTTGAAAGAATTCCTTTCATATTTTTCAAAACTAATGTAGCATGTAACTCCTTTGTAAGTAGAAGATCTAGGTTGGCAAATTAATTCTTTGCTGGATTTTTTTGCGAATATCAAAGGGTTAAATGCACTAATTACTTTTTTGTACTCTCTTCGCATTTTTTTAACCTTGTTGTAGACTTAGCTAATTGAGAGACTGTGATGTGTTTTTATTTCATTTAATTTTGTATATTTAATGAGCTTATACTCGGGAACAAATAAATAAATAAATGCTCACTCAGCTTGAATGTCATTTCGCAGGCGGCAACAACAGCAACAATTACAACGCCAACGGCACTTACTCCTCCAACTACATTCTCTCCAACCAGCAGAACATGGACTGCGACACCGGCCAAGAACTAGCTAACCTGACCATAAGCGGCAACCAGAGCCCTCCAAAGCAATACTCCACCCTCCAGAACGCCTCTTATGGCATCGTAATGAAGGACGAGAACGACCTCGATCTCTACGACTCCAAGATGGACCCCATGAACCAACTGCTTCCCGGAGGATACTCGAGTTACGACGACTCGATGATGGTCGACCTGGTGACCGGCACCGTCGTCGATCCGCTGCAGTTCACGGCGACGCTGACGTTCTCCAGCTCAGCGGAGAACGCCCTGTTGGAGAGCTTCTCCGACGCCACCGATCTGTCCAGTTTCCTCCAGAGACTGCCTAGCGAGGAAAACGAGAGCGATGATGTGATCGCGAGCAATATTCACTCGCCGGCGATAACGCCTGACTCGCAGCTGCAGCCCGTCGATCAGAATATCGAAGCCTTCAGTGAGCAGATGTTGAATAGGTGAGTTTTCTTCAGGAACTAGTTTTTTTTGTTAATAACACTACATTCAAATACTGAACTCTAAATCCATTTCAATCGTATACCAGTGTATACTCTAATAACCTATACGACAACGAATCATGTTATTATTCTCCTCAGCAGGAACTATGAAAACCGATCCAGCTTCTCCCACAACCAGTTCTCGAAAATCTACCAGGAATCTTTGCCCCCGTACCAGTCTCCCCTCAACGCGGACTCCCTCCAGTCGCAGATCCATCCCCAGCAGATGCTCTCGCCGAGCTTGTCATTCAACAGCAGTGGCCTGGACCTGGACTCGCCGACGACGATGTCGCTGCCTTCGCCGGGGGCGGCGAGCTGCTCCTTGGACGGACCCCACGACGGCGGCTCCAACACGCCTCCCGCAAACGTGAGTGGCAGAAGGGGTAGCAGGAGGGATAGTTCGAGCAGCGACGCTCCCTCCCTGCAGGGCAGGGTTAATGTTCTCCACAGGGTAAGCATTGGTTTGATTTATGGCAAAGCGAGATTTTTCTTTTATTTAAACAAAGACGAAGGGATGGTAGGTGGTAGTAGTTCAAGATGTAGTTGTGTGAATTCCCATGGAAGAAAAATTAAATTCAATACTTTATATCGAATTTGTTCAATTTTCATCGTTTCTTGACAAGGAAACGTTTTTTCACGTATAGTCTTTGCTGCTTACATAGGTTAAATGAAAAACAAAGCTGCAGTGCTTGGGTCAGTAAATTTTTAAATTTTTTCTTTGTTCCATTAAAGACTATAATTTTTATTGTATGCAAATAAATACATAAATCGTTAAAATTTTACACTAAGATTTAATAAGTATAAGAAAAGATGAATTTTTCCAACATGAAGTACTTGAACTTCAATTTTGGAACGTGCGACAAAAAATCAATTTGTTTGATGTGTTTCAACAGTTTTTTGAAAACTAGTGAATGATTTACTTGCTTTATACACGGTACCTACACTATTTTTTTCATTGCTCATAAACATTTGTTTTGTTTCAATCTAAGCAGGTAAACATTAATGTAATAAAACTCTCTAATTATGGAAATAACGTCAAATATTTGAAAGGTAGACCTAGAATAATTTTAAAACGAGCACTGTGTCCAAAAACCAGATCTTCAACACTTTTCTCAACGTGTATTTCACCAACCAAGTTGGCGTGTTCATGAAGTAAACAGTCTACTTCACCTCCTGAAGACGTCAATTTCATTGGTGAAACGCACGTCAAAAAGAGTGTGGCAGTTCTAGTGTTTGAGAGCAGCGCTTGTTTTGGGTCCATTGTTCACTGGAACTAAATAATTAATTAGAAAGAGGGTTAATTGAACTAAACTACTTGAACTAAAAAAGTAAAAATTATTTCTTGATAATACCAATAAAAGCAAATTCTGTACAAAAATTAGTTTTTTAAATGTGTTTAAGTCATACATTATAAAAGGTTAGATAAAATTATGAATATGCTTACCCGTTACTTGATGAAAATTAATAACACTATCCATGAAGTTTTTGATGGAATTTTGAAAAACTTGGAAGCACCACTCTCAAGAAGACTTGATTTCTTTACCAGAGGAATTTTTCAAAAACCGTATCAGAACTTTCATAAATAATCTAAAATAATGTCAGTTAAGTTAGGACGTGATGTTAGAACATATTCATTTGAAAAATTGTATTAAGTATAGCTTATCAATAATCATAACCTACACACTCAATTTCACATATTGTTGTTTAGTGAACAAAGATTGTTATTATCCTGTTCTTTTTTATTATAATTCAAGGAACAAACACCCCTCAATATTTTCTCTTCAACTGTACCATGTGAATTGCTACACCAAATATCCAACCTTAGTAGTGAAATTGTCACTTTTGAAAAAAATTGTTTATCATTGCACCCTCGTTCTCTCACTAAATGGAAATATACACAACACTGATTGTCAAAACATTTAATCAATTTGAAATCGACCGCTGAAACTATCTACCTCTATCGACACCGCGAAGCTACTACCAAAAAGTTTCGCTTTCAGCACTGCCCAAATCAAAGCGTTGCTTTCCTGAATGACGCGAGTCATATGCCTTTACCCGGTTATCTTTTTCAGTTGGGTCTTCCTGCAGAGGTTCAGCTGGAATTCGTCAACGGCGGCCACGGCATCAAGAACCCCCTGGCCAGCCAGGAGACGACGAGGAGCACCTCAAGGACTGAAGACAAAGCCAAAGTAGCGTCGATCACGACCGAGGACGGTCAAACGAATTTCGCGTGCAGGATCTGCAACAAGACTTTCGCACTGCAGCGTCTCCTGAACAGGCACATGAAGTGCCATTCCGATGTCAAGAGATACTTGTGCACTTTTTGTGGGAAGGGTTTCAACGATACGTTCGATTTGAAGAGGCACACGAGAACGCATACAGGTGAGACATTTCAGGATTCTCTTTTTGTCATTCATATTTTTCACAAGACTTTTATATTGGACAAGTTATTTATTTTGCGGTTGCACAGAACTATACCTAAACAACTCGATTGCATTTGTCATACTGATTTGGACTTCATGAATACAACTCCACTATAGTCATATGATTGGTAGGCAATCTGAAATTATTTTTATTCCCCACTCAAATCTAAATTTCGACGGGAATTTATAGATTAGAAAAGAAAGAAGTTCTAGAATAGATTTCTGAGGAACACCATTAATGTAACCTAAGAAAGAATGAATCCAACGTTGCATATTTTTTTAATTGTCTACTTGAGTTACTTTGGATGATTTTCAATGACTAATAAATTGCAATCTGTGAAAGTTGATTCGTTAAGAAAATTAGGAAGACTATAGTTTTTATTTTCTAACATGCGAACTCTAACATAAAAATCTACTTCATGTTTCCCCAACAATATTATTCATTTTCCCAGAACTAGAATGACCAAATCGTCCAGTTAGCCCAATACTTTATATTCATTATTTTCTCAGAAGAAATAGTACTTTGCACACTGACAGTGGGTATACAACCCCTTTGAGGACAACCCCTTGTTATCAGTGCCACTGATGCTCTTTCCTTTGGGCATATATGGTTTGATTCGGTTGATAAGAGTTCATTTTATTTTAACTCAACATGTCAAAACTTAATTTCTCAATGGTTTCCTTCTTCCAGGTGTGAGACCCTACAAATGCGCCCTCTGCGAGAAATCCTTCACGCAACGCTGCTCCCTGGAATCCCACTGTCTTAAAGTGCATGGTGTACAGCACGCATACGCTTACAAGGAGAGGCGGACCAAGGTGTATGTTTGCGAAGAATGCGGTCACACGACGAACGAACCTGAGGTCCACTACTTGCACCTCAAAGAAAAACACCCCTACAGCCCCGCGTTGCTCAAATTCTACGATAAAAGGCACTTCAAATTCACGAATTCGAACTTTGCGAATATGCTCTTGCAAGTACGTACCTAACGTGACTTATTTGCTCGAATTTATGTCCGTCCAATGTAGAAGGTAGTCTGTTGAAAAATTAATTTCTTGACGCATTGGATCTGTCAAATCTTTTCTGTGATAATACATGTTTGTTTTTTATAATCTCTCTTCTTCAACTACATTTTTTGATAACCGGGAGGTTATGTGCAGGACATGGAAATAAAACGAGGGATCAAGCCTAAAGCGTACCACACACACGCACCCGCGCACTTGATCGTTTGAGCGGAGACTATAATAAAAAATCGGGTTTTTTGTGCAATCAGGTGGATGGAACTGGGTTACTTATTATGTAAGTGTAGCTTAGATCAAACTGTATAGTACTGGAACGACGTTAGAATTTGGAAATTTGACAGTGCATCAAAGTTTCAGGGAAAGGCACCGATTGTCAATGGGAAACGAAACTCCAGAAAACGCATTTGAGAAAAATAGCGATTTTTTTAAACGAAGACTACATTGGTTTTGATTTTCAGACAATTCAAGATAATTTTGACTTGATGGTTGAATTTTTAGTTGGTGGTTCCAATGAAAATCGCAGATCATTATCATTTTGTCTGTCTTGTTAAGAGACATGCCTATGATGGTCGGTCGGTAGCCAGGCGGTTCGATGTGGGTGGTTTGTTCACTCACTCAAATTGACTGCCGTGTTGGTCGGTGGTTCAAGCCCTAGTCTGAACGATCGATTTTCACTTGCTATCGTCCAACCCGTGTTAGGAATCACGTTTTAAATCTGTTTTTCCGTTAATCAGCTGTCGCCCCCATACGAACGACAACTCTCAGAAGTTGAGAAACTTGGGTGTGCTAAGGACTAACAAGGTCTTACCTTTTAACGTATGATTCCTAACACGGTAGAAGGTAAGACCTCGTTAATCCTTAGCTGGCACAAGTTTCAACTTCTGAGGGTTGTTGTTCGTCGAAGTGCGACAGCTGGTTGACGAGAAAACAGATTTTTTTAAACAGATCCCTGTTATCCAATTTATACCTTTATGTTGATAAAAATGTATTTCATGAGAAATCAAAATGATTCTTTGATAACATTCTTCAATCAAAACTTTCTTCATGTTCGTCCCTTCCTGCAATTCAATTTAAAATAGACACGTTGGAGAGAGGTAATAAATGTTTCTTAATTACTACCACTAATAATAACAATACTTTATTTCATTTTTCCTAATATTTTTTCATTCCTAAAGAAATACAGGCAGAAATACATTGACATATACAGGGTAGGACAACAAAATTTTTGGATTATATAGAACTCTAAATTGATTCCTGTGGTAGACCCATATCAAGTTTGGTTCTTCGTGAACAATTAGTGCAAGGAAAAGTTTGAACTGTTGATTATTAATACCTGATTTTCCTGCTTTATATAAATAATGAAAAACACACAATGACTTAAAATGATGTTGACTGCACAATCTCCAAAAAGCAATACCACATCTCAAGTGTCTTGATCAAAAAATGGTAGACAATTTTCACGAAGACATCTCTAAGTGCACAACATTCTGATGCCAATTTTTTCACCGTCCCATTTGCAGTTATCTATAAATAAACCGAAGATTCTCGTTTTTTAGGATACAACTATTCAGTTTCAAATCATCAGTCAAAAACTCTAAATTACTCCGTCCAAGCACTGGGTCTTTTGCACATTTTAGGGTTTCTTGCTAAGCCAGAGAAAGGTGGAATCATCCTTCAAAAAGTGTTTTTTCTTGAATCAGAATGGCAACCAGATTGTTTGAATATATCAAAAAAAGGGTAGGGTTCAATAATACACTTTCAGGGACATCTCCGAACCAGTTTAAACACACTTCTCTAAAAGTCACGGCGATAAAGTTTTTGCTGAAGTACTCCATGATTTATTTATTCATACAATGAAACTTTTGGGATTTGCCATCCCTAATTGAATATTCGAAAATCGACAAGGGTAAAAGATAATAAAATTAGCTGCAACTGATTGACTGCCATTTTGAAAGCATCAAAAGCATTGGATTGTCTTTCTGTCTATAATAATATAATGAAGTATTCATAATAATAACGTGCGTTTCCTATAGAACTGATATTAACTTCAAAGGCACTGAAAATTACTAATAATTTCTTTAAATTTCCTGGTGAAGATTATATTTTTTGAAACTTCTTTTATACTTTCAGTGTCGGTATTTTCATTCGAGTTTGAAGGTCATCGATTTTTGGAATTTCTTTCTGACGTTTCGCTGGCGCGAGTGGCTAGCTTCTTCAGAGGTTCATAGATCTTAAGTTTATCTCATCGGAGATGAACTCAAGATGAATGAACCTCTGATGAAGCCAGCCTTTCGCACCAGCGAGAGTTCAGGAAGAAATTCCAAAAAGTGACAGATTTCAAACCCAAATAACGATAGTGCCACTAGAAACCTTGGCCATGAAACCTTCAGCCGTTTTGTTTTTATACTTGATCGAAACACCACTTCGAATTAATTTATTGTTTGCCTTTTCTGAAGAAAAAATGGGTATGGAGGAAAGCCTAGAGAATATTAGTTTCGACTTATGAAGAATTAGAATTAGGCTATAGAAAAATAGTCATTTTATAATTTTGAGCCATATATCGGAAATAGATCTATTTTAGAACATCGGCTGTGATTGTGAAGGATCGAGAAGGGTGAAATAGGTATTAAGAAGTGTTTTCTCATGAGTATCAATGTTAATAATAACATTTAAAAAAGGTGACTGCAATTTTCAAAAAATTCCACCAATGTCTTTATTTCAATCTAACAAAATTTGTGTATATAAAATATCGTACTGCACTTTGGGGTTATTTTCCGAGTTTCGTTTGTCATTCCTTGAGATCGTTAGGGGAAAAATTCTAAACTTTAACTCGTTCCTTTCCCATTCTGGTGCTTCATAGAGAACGTTCAAGAACTATGGTGCTACAGAATCCTAGACAGATATAGAAAATGTATGTTGTGATCTTGTCTCGATAACAACGAACAAATTTTGGCAATACTTTAGTTTTTGTTAAAGTGAGAATTTGTTATTATTTTGGTATGCGTGTTGACAATGCTGTTTGTACATAAAAATGTTTAGTTTATCTGCTATAAGTACCTTTTTATCTTATAGTGACTTTTTTGACATGTTAGCGTGTACTATTTATGTTTGCCAGTGTACCTAGAAATGTTGAAACGAGTTGATAATATTTATATCTCTTTTTTTTACGTCACAGTATTCACGATTTTCTAGATTGTATATTTTACTAAACTAGTGGAACTGAGTTTTTAGAAAGATATCTCGAGCTTTTTATTTAAAATTTAGCTTTAACTTCGTCTCAGATACTTTTCGTAACTCGACTTTGTATTTATACCCCCACGCTCAGATATTACTTAATATAGAACAAAATATGTACTTTTCCTAATGTTGTTATACAAATATATACATATTGACTATAGACTATTTGTTTTAGGACTATTTTTCTCCCTTTAAGTAAGTACATAAGGACATAATTACAAAAGACATTAAATACATCAATACTGATAAGTAGGAGATAAAATAACAAATAAACAAATCATGTTCATTCTTGACATGATATATGTATATAAAATAATAACGTTGTTATTACTTTAAATAGAAAACAAAATAAAGAAAACTGATAGTATAACTATTCATGGTGATACTCAGTAAAAGTGATGAAAAAACTCTCTCTTACTACATAAAAGAGGAAAACAGAGATTTGATGTCACTTGTTTTCACTGCAACTTTTTTTCATGACTTGCCGAACAATTGTTAATATTGCAAAAGCTGCATATTGAGTCGTAGTTTTCTCACATATTCAATTGGAGAATGCAATATTTTTTTTCTGGTTGATTCGGCCGTTACTTGATGAAGTCCATAGTAATTTCAAAAATAATAATTTCCACAAACTTTGTGTTTGTGGAGATTATTATTTTATTAGTGTTTTGAAACTGTAGGAACTAAATCAAACCCGACTTTATCCCTGTTGTTACGAGATCCACAGCCAACCACAATGCACGTAAGGGGCATTTTCCTTTAGTTAAAGCACTAAATATTAATTAAAATTTGAAAAAACAACCGAAATCCGCACAGGGAATCACAAAAAGAAACAATAACTACTATGGTCGCATATCATAAAATACAATGTTTGCCCTACGCCGCCATATTGCATTCGTTTTGACAGGTCGCTGGATTGGTCTGTTCAGATGTAGTTCATAATTTCACACCAAGCCTGCACATTATCAATATCTTCCTAAAGTGTATTGCAATTATTGACATTTTGGATAGAATTCAGTATTTTCAGATCAGCAAAAAAAAACTACATAGAATTTATTTGTGTGCTTAAATCATTGATAAATATAAAAAACGACACCGGTCGCAAATTCAATACTTGGGGTACGCCAGATCTAGGAATTATCGTGTTTGATTTGTATCCGTTGTAGTAAACTATTTGGTTACGGTTATAAAGGTACGATTCAAAAAAGCCTATCAGCTTTTTACTAAGGCCAATAAAGTCCAGTTTCGAATGTAACATGCTATGATCAATTTTGTCAAAGGAAAACAATCCTAGATTTCATTCAGTGCTGCGGTGGTTCATGAAACCATGTTGAAATTCGCTTATTTGGTTGTGTGTTGTTGACAAGTAAATGTGCTTATACAATATAATTTCAAAGGCCTTCGCAAGATTGAGATAATTGAGATTGCTCTGTAGTTTGTTATGATGTCGTATCTAGACGATGAATTCCCAATTTACAAAAAAATTCAACTGCAAAGTACTAGCACAGAATAATATTGTTTACTATTCTGTGGTACTAGGGTACGCACGATTAGCAAGCTGGAAGTTTGTTATTGAAAAAAATGTCGAGTAAATGAGGGCACCACTAATTCCGAATAATGTCAACGTTTTATTGAAGAAAAACTGAAATTTTTAGAAAAAAGGATACTTGTGGTATGAAAGAAAACTGGGTGAAATCAAACAATGTAGAAACCAAAAGAATTCCTTTATTTATAAAAAAGGATTACAATATTAAATACTTTTAGTGGGAATCAGAAAATCTTTCTTTCCAGTGCACAACAAATTAACAATGAGATCAATTCCAATGAACTTCTTGTACATTAACAGTATGTTGTGAAGAAATGAATTTACATTAAACTATTTATTTTCAATAAATATTAAACTTCGCCATTTTGTAAGAATATTTACTCAAAATATTTTCAAATTTCTCACAACAATTAATAAAAATGATACATGAAACGGGTTCATAAATGAAAGTTTTCAACAATTCAATTCTTGGAATGACATGAAAATAAAGGCAGTGAAGATTTGAATATGTTGTTGATACGAGAGGACACATTTGAGCAAAGTGACAAAAATTGACAACAAACAATTTCAGGAAGTGAGGCACAACTTCAATAGTTCTAGATGAAGCTAGTTTATGATCCACCAATTTTTGTTCTATTAAAAACCCACTAGATCACCAATTATTTTGGACAGTGTTTTGAGACAGAATAATTCTTTTTCTTGCTTTTGGTTGCAGTTTCCAAACTTAGCGCTATCATTCAAACCAATAGGAAGAAATTGTAAAAACTCCTTTCACAAGAGCGTCTATGCCGTAAAACAAAAAATTGATTGATATTTTTTCTCCTTTCTTTTAGAAAAGAAACATATTGAAGTTATTCAGAATTGATTTGACTAATGAAGTTACTATTCTCCATTTCTTTCAATTGTCATTTATTGAACTTCAACTATTATACTTTTACTCGCTCCCCAAAATAATAAAAATCTTCTACCTAAATATACTTTACATAACCCTCTGCCGCATACATAAACCTCTCAAAAGTGACCTTCGATGGATTCTTGTACAGATAAACAACACTAAAAACCAATATTAAAGCTAACAAAGTCTTCTTACCGCTTCTCCTAGAATATATTAACTTCTTAGAAAATAAATAAAATCTATTCAAACACCGTCCGAAAATTCTAATTCCTGTCTCGAAACGGAGACTCAATTCTACTTGAGTTCAGAGAGCGGTTAGGACTCCCGAAATTTTCTTTATCCTCCTTGGATAATTTGGTTTTCTTCACGAGTTTCTTTAGATCGCTGTTTTCCTTTTTCAGCTTCTCTATCGTCTTTATGTGGGTTAGTAATTTGAGGTCTAAATCCACGTTGCTCTGAAAACAAAATTTCATTTAAAAATATTTGATAAGCAAAATACACTGAAACACATTACAATCTGATACCACTGGTGAAAACAAGTTAGCCTTATGGGCATTACTAATGGAAGAAAAAGAAGAAAAGTCTGTGAACAAATACTGTTGAATTTCTTGTGATAGTGATTTTTATCATTACAATATTATTACAAATTCCACAACCTATTTTACAATTCAGGTCTATTTGACCTACCTTGTTTACGAATGGAAGAATCCAGTATAATCATTTTATCAGATTTTCTGTTTAGTATATTAAGAATTTTGGTAAACATTTTTGTCAACCCACTATATAGTGAATTAGAATTTAATATATCCAACGTTCCTTACCTGTGCAAGTTCTTCATTTTTAGCCTTGAGGTCGATGAGGTGTTTGATTTTCTGTTTACTGTTCTGGTGCCCAGCTAACTCTGCATACTTTTGAGAGACTTCCTTCAATTCGTTCTCCAAATGTTTAACTCTGTTGACTAACACATCATTTTCTGCTTCTGCCTTTTCTAATCGAGATCTAGTATTTGGCTCTTCAACCTCAAGAAAAACGAGAAGTTGGATTTTATTAGTACATTCTTTGTATACTATATTTGCAAGCTTAAAACATGGAAAGAGGAGTCAGGGAAAGGGGTAAAGATAAAGGAAAACTTTGAGAGATACAGTTGAGACACACTCAGATGTTAAAGATGAAAGTAATATTGAAACATTTTTGGCAATATAGAAACAATATAGGCTACAGTAGATTAGATAGGTATATTATTATTGCCAATAGTCATTTCGTTGTGGTAATGTCCAAATGGGAGAGAGAGAAATATAAAAGAATATGAAAAAACAAAATATCAAGACAAGGTATTTAAAAAATAGACATAAACGCAAAAAAATAGAAAAAAGTTCAACAAAGATATTCATCTTAATATCAAAGAAATATAAAGAATGTAAATGTGGATTGAAATATGGATGCTATAAAAAAAAACATAGGTAGAGGTGGATATTGAGCAAAGGAAATAGATAAAGCATTAGAATGAGAAGAAATAGAAAAAAAGAGGAGCAAAGTTTGGAGAGACAAGAAAACAAGTGCTAAAGAAAATCTCACAAGAATGATGCAGCAGAAAGATAGTAGACTATATCTAGTCTTCAAGATGTCATAAATGTAATTTATATAATGCAAAATGTGACCAAATAAATCTTTCTATCTGTCTATAGATAGACTCATATCGTTAAATGAAGAGGAATTGAGATAAACAAAGGTGAGAATGAAGACAATACAGAAAAATTTAGAGGAAAAGATAGATGAAGTAATTCTACGACACAACAATATCAATGAGAACTTTTCAAAAATGAAAATATAAAATGCAGATAGAGAAAAAGATGAAAACGGATACCATTGTAAAGAAAATAGAGAAATATTTAAACAAAGAGTAAAAATGAGAGAGGTTGAAAAGATTTGATTGAAAATTGTGAAGAAAAAAAAAGGTAAGTGAAAGAGGACCAAAATGAAAGAGAATATTATGAAGAAGATATAGAGTGTGGAAAAAATAGAGATACTAAGAGATAAAATGAGAAAGACATTTTGTAGTGAACTAAAAGATGCATTGACTTGAAAAAGAACGGAAAAAAGTGTGTGAAAAAAAAGCAATTTTCAATATAAGAAAAGGGAAGAAGTAGAAAGTTAAAAAGGAATCTTAAAAGTAGGAGGTGTCTAATGAGGTAAATACTGCAAAGGAAAAAATACTGAATAAATGTGAAGGAATATGGAAGAGGAAGGGCCAATTTACATGGATTGATAAATATTGATCAAAACACAAAACTTTGTATGTCATACAATGTCAATTTTTATTTTATAAAATAATTTTTAATTTAAGATTGGTGTTTTATCATTTCACTACTATAGATAGAGAGATATTTTTAATTTAATTATCATTCTGCAAAAATGGGTTAGTCAATAATTTGTTGAATGAGTTATTCAATAACAAAAGCATAATTATGTTAGCAGCTGTTTTTCTATCGTATCTGTATTCAATATCTTTGTATATTGTAAATCAGATGACACGAAATTTAGAAAGCATGGACGTCATTAATTGTTCCACATAATTGAATGTAGTTTTTTCCAATATCATGAGCATAACTACTATCCATCTTCATAGAATTACTCAATAGTTCTGGCTATTTTCCATAGCCATTTATCTCCATGGTAATCCAAAAAATACTTATGACAGTGAAATTTTTATGTAAGCTTGAATTAGTTCAAATCTTTTTAAAAGTTACCTTATGTTCATTGACTGTCCAAGTCGACTAAGGATATGGATTAAAAAAATTTGAGAAAGAAGAGAATAACTGATACTCACTTTATTTTTTGAGTACTTCTTCTCTTTCTCCAAATTTTCATATTTCTTGAAAAGTGTTTCATAAGCTTCCTTCAGCCTGACAAACTCCTCCTCCCAATGCTTTGATTCCGCAGCTTGCTTGGCTAGCTGTTCAAAGTTACACTGATGTTGAACTTTGTTTGCTTCCAAGTCCTCAAACTTCTGCGATAACTCGTCGTACTTTCCAGACATTTCGATATACTTTCTGTGGATATTTTCCGTTTCTAACTGCTCTTCTTCATATTCTTTAAGTTTACGCTGGTAGTATTCTGAATAGTGCAGGTACGATTCACTTTTTTCTTCGAGATGGGCTATTTTCCTCTTCAACTCGCTAGTTTCTAGGTCCTTAACCTCGAGCAACTCCTGCAGCTGCTCAACGGTGTGCTCCAGCTTATCTTTAACAATATTCCAGTCCATTTCACGCATGTGGTAGTCTTCAAGCTCGTTTTGAGACTGCTCTACCTCGAATTTGTATTGAGAATGTAACGTTTCAACGTTGTCCAGATCCACTTTCAACCTGTTAATCATATCATGAGCATCATGAAGCTGCTGCATGATCTCATTCTTTAATTTCTTTTCGTATTCAAGCTTCTCAGAGTACCTTTGCACCTCCCGCTTGTATTCATCGACTTTGCTTAGCAGCTCAATGCTCATTTTGTCTATCTCAGTTCTGTTGAGTTTGATGGCAGATTCGTATTGCATTTCTAGCTCGTCGTTGAATGTTTGGGTTTCCTTCAGGTCAGAAGTTAGTTGCAAGCATTTTTGCTCGAATTCTAGAATTTTCCCCTCGCAGTCTGCCAGTTCTTGTTTCAGCTGCTCCACGTCCTGGTCAGAGTGAATGAGTCTACGTTTTAGCACTTCGATTGTCACCTGAGAGTTTTTTATTGTTATTTCATAGGTACTTCGCTCTTTAGCTATCTGAGCCATTTCTTCATTTTTCACTTCCAACTCCTTACGTAAAGCTTCGTTTTTATCGCTCAGCTCCTTCACTGCCCCATCAAATTTATTCTTTGACGTCTCGTACAAGGTCAGAAGTTCTTCATAACTTCTTAGTGTTTGATTGTATTTTTCCTGGACACTTTGAAGAGTTTCAGTAGATTGAAGAAGATCAGTTTTTATTTTGTTCTTCTCTATTTCACACTGAATGATGTTGTACTCGCTTATTGCTTGGCACTCCTTGAGAATAGCCTCAGCTTCTTTTTCTTGAGTTGTTAGCTTGTTTTTCCAGTTAGTCTCTACTTTGGTCAGTTTTCCTTTGAGTTCATCTTCTGTGATCAAGTTGGATTCCTTGAAATGTTGTTCCACCTAAAATACAGAATACATTTGATGAATCAGATTAGAAAAGCTTACACAATAAAAACATAATGACATCAATACAAATTTATCAAACTAGCCAGAAACAAGGTGTTAATAGTTAAAATAGGATTTGTTCAAAAATGCTTTATTGTCGAAGAATACAACACTCTGTCACCTAACACTAGGATTAAAAAAAATAGTAATATGTTGGTGAAAAGTATACATTTGCTTAAGCTAGCTGAGGTTCATTGGCAAGCAAATACGAATTCATTTGAGGTATCTATTCAACAGGAACACATTCAGCTGTGAAATGTACAATGAAAAACAGGAATAGAATAGAATAGAAGTTTATTCATCACTAAAGTTCACATGAACAACATAAAAAAAGTATAAATACATGAAACTTATTGGACTAGTCACAAAGAGAGCTTGAAAGTAATTAAAATTTACAAGATTATACATATACATTTTTGATAAGTAAAATATTAAAATATACAATGAACATCAACAATTTAAAAATTCTTGAAGAGAGTAGAACACCTTGTTTTTTAAAAATTCATTCAACCAACATTTTAGTTCATTCCTACTCATTAAACTTAACTCAGGATGAATAGCCATGAGTTTGTTATAACATTTAATACCTTGATATACATGGGAGTCTTGACCAACTCCTAATCGTGAGTATGGCTGGTATAATCTTTCACTGTTTCTTGGACAGTAATTGTGTATATCTTTTTTTTTCCTCAAATAATTTTCATCTTTTTTAACGTATAATATGATCTGCAGCACATAAAGTGAGGGGACTGTGAGAATTCCTAGTTAATTGAACCATTTTTTACATGATGTTTTGGAGTGCACTCCTGCCATACATCTGATAATTCTTTTTTGCATAACAAAAACTCTATTCATATACAGAGTTACCCCAAAACATTATTCCATAACTTATTGTCGATTGCACTTTTCCAAAATAAGCCAGTTTAAGGATTTCCAGAGATATTGTACCTTTCAATTGCCTGATGATGAAGCAACTTGTGCTTAATTTATTTGTTAGATCATTAATATGAGGATCCCATGTCATTTTTTGATCTACTTTGATACCTACAAATTTGATGTAATTCACCTGTTCTATTGTTTGATGATTAACTCTTATTAGAGGACTGAAATCATAATTTATATTTTTTGTTGTAAACACCATAAAAAATGTCTTGGACAAATTCACTAGCAATCCGTTGAACACACACCACTCATGAAAATCATTAGCACAAATATTTGCCTTGATTACAGTATCCTGTAATTTATTCTCAGAAATCAGAATATTAGTATCATCAGCATACATAATGATTTTTTTTGGCTCAGAGCATGAATAAACCATATCATTTATAAAAATTGTGAAGAGAACTGGCCCCAATATAGACCCCTGAGGGACACCAATGTTCACAATATTTTCTTTAGATTTTTTACCGTTTATCACCACTATTTGTTGTCTGTCAAGGAGATATGAAGCAATCCAATCACTTGTAACTCCTCGTATGCCAATTCGGTGTAATTTTTCCAAGAGTAGTTGGTGATCAACTGTATCAAACGCTCTACTTAGGTCAAAATAAAGAGCAATGGGATTTTGTTTATTATTAAGGCAGCTATAGACGGTAGTATTGAGATCAGATATGGCGGTATTTGTTGATTTGTTCCTTCTAAATCCATTCTGACAATCAAATAAGTTATGTTGATTCAAAAATTTATTGAGACGTTCATTATATGCCGTATCAAAAATTTTGGCTAGTTGGCTCTATAAGCAGACATTTCGGTAATTATCTACTATCTCTCTAGATCCTTTGTTTTTGAAAATTGGTATAGATTTAGAGACCTTTAGAATCAATGGGTACTGTCCTGACAAAAAAGATTCATTGATTATGTGAGCTAAAGGCAAACCTATCGTTTCCTTGACAAACCTTACAGCTTTTCCACATATATCATCTATCCCAGAAGCATGTTTACTTGTTGTTTTAGTTATATATTCTTCAATCTCCTGAGGAGAGGGTTTATTATTATGTAATATATAACCCATTTTGGAATGTTGAGTTACTTCCAGATGTGAAAATGTTTGACGTATATCTAGTTCATTTCATGTATTGTATGGAATGTATGTGAACATTTTTTGAAAAAGTTTGTTCATTTTCTCTGATGTACTGGGAAATATATAAATATGAAAATGATGGCGTTTTTAAATAGTGGCTCACAAGATGTGCTTGGGGTCATATTTTCTTCTGAACTATATAAACCTTGTTTACGTGCGATGATGATCCGCAGAAAATCAAATACTGAAGAGTAGGTTGGCTGTACCAACCCAAAGTACAAGAGCTTCAGAACAAGAAACGACCCTGTGTCAAAGAGAGCAATCTTGTAGAAGTTTTATTTATATATAATTGCCAAGCAAGTTCTGGATCTGAAATTTACCCCAAAAATGTAATTGTATCAGTGTTATTGATATAATGATGAGCATCAGGAATTGGCATCATAATTTTTGATAAGAATTGTAAGTTTAAATATAAGCCTATTTTCTTGACGATACTCAATTAATTCCTGTGATGCTTTGTTGTGGTTATCTAAAAGTTGTTTGAATTGATGATGTGGTATAATTAAGTTTGTTTCATCTGCATACTCTATTATTCTGTCAGGAGCGGTAAATCTCATGTATAAAAATGATTAAAAATAAAGGTCCAAGTACAGAGCCTTGGGGTACTCCTACAGCACATTTTCATATTTTCAATTATCGAGAAAGGTGGCCCACTAAAAAACATTTCAAATATGTTACAGATTCCAAATCATCCACCAACAAATCCAAGAAACACTAGTCATTTCATTGGGATAAATAGAACATAAAAAACAATAAACAATTGATATTGAGGGAGGTATATTGATGTTTGTTGAAATTATTTTTGCCTGGTTTGGTGATCCAAAATATTTTCAAATGCGGTTTCTTTCTATTGGTTGGGAAAAGGATTAAAAATGTTCGTAGATGTGTGGGACGTTACTTAAAAAACAAGTTGTCTGAACATGAAAGAGATACAAGAAAGTTGAATGTTGCCAATCCAACAGCCCTCGTTGAACACACAAGAGAAAACAACCACAGTTTTGACTTTGCAAACCCCAAGATTTTAGATATTCAACCTTTATTAGGTAAACGACTATTTCAAAATAACTTTTAATTTATACAAGTATTCAGACTTAGATTAATTTTCAGGAATAGTAGATTGATGCAAAAATTGTATTAATCTGTTTATTTTTGTAGTAGCTATGATTGAAAAACAAAACAATACTGACATTAGTAAATATGATTGAAGTAAGTTCAATAACACTTATTTATTTATGAACTTTTTGTAACACCGAAATTCCTCAAAAAAATAAAACAAGAAATTTGGTAAAATACAAGTAATCAAAAGTACTACGCACCTTTTTCAATTCCTCTCTAGACCTCAAAATCAATTGTTCCCGTTCAACCTCAAAACTATTCTTCAGCTCTGAAATTTCCCTATGCACTTTATCTTCCATCAACCTTATTTTATTGGATGAAGCTTCCTTCTCGCTTTGCAATTCAGACATAACCTTCAGCATCTCAAATTCAATATCTTGTATCTCCAGATGGTGCTCTTTTTTCAGTCTCTGTATTTCAACTGAGTGCTGGTTCTGCATTTCAATGCAACTCTGTTCGAAAGCAAGTAGTTCCTTTTCCTTAGTTTCTAACTGTGCTTCCTTGAATTTTATGAGTCTTATGTATTCTTCGGAAGATTCCTTGAAAAGTTTGGGAAACTTGTCGCAGTGGTCTCGGAGCTCCATTAACTCTTTCAGGTTGCCTTTAATAAATTCTTCGTAGTCCTCTCTTATGAGGGCAATTTCTTCAGTCATTTTCAGTTTCTTCTCATTCAACTCCTTCATTATATTTTCAAATACACCTCGTAGCCTCTTCAGTTCATCTTCATGTTTTAAATTTAGATTTTCAATTGCATGTTCATAATCTGTTTTATCTAATTCTAGTCGATCCTTCTGTGATTTAAGTTTACTCATTTCATCAGTAATTTCTTCAAGTTGCTGGCTCAAATCTTTAATGAAGGCATTTTTGTTTTCGCACTCGACAATTTTTTCCCTCAAGGCTTCTTGTTCACTGGACTTTTCGTTGAAGAGCTTTTGCTGAGCTTTTGGTTTTGTGGCATGATCAGGACCTTTGATTTTCCTCTTCATTATTGTTGGCTGAAAAGTTATCATTACATCATAAATAATCATACACACTAAATATCATTCTCTGTTCTGCAGTGGATTTGACATAACAAAGCATTTATTGTGTCATAATATACAGTGTTTTTTATGTATAAGAAATAATAATGAGGTTAAAATAAAATGTTATTGTTTTATACCCTAGAAATCAACACTTATTAATTGCATAATATGTTAATAATTTATCTCTCTGTTACAAATTTATTTTTCCAATGAACACATATTTCAACAAATTTGATATAGAGTGGCGGAGGTATGAAATTTCTAGTCCCAAATTCAAACATTAATAACTCCGCAATCGGTTATTGAAATTCCAAAAAGTAAAAGTCATTTTATAGATAATTGAAAAACATCTCATATGAAATGTCACAAGACCGCCTTTTCTATTAAAAAAAAAAGTTGATAGCTCCCTCTCTGGGGCAAGTGATGTCACCCAATTGGCTTTTTTTTATCAAAGAGTCCTAAAAATGATTGCTTTTTACAAAAATTTCGTATCTGTTGGAAAGTCAAGAAGGGTGGGGACTATTTACGTCCCCACTATATAATGAACAATTACACACAAATGAACTAAGTACCTGCATGTTATAATATATTATTCAACAAGTGAGAAATCTGGTCATTAATTGTGAGAATTGAATAGTGAATCATTCGAACTAGTAATGACTATTTCTCGAGAATAAAATACCATACTTTTTTATAACTCATAGTGATATCACTAAGTTTCATAACACAAAACAACACAAACTATCATTCAAAAATATTTGTTATTCTTGTTTCGTATTCAATTTCAAATGCATTGGAAATAGAGTTGATAATTGAAGAATCTCATCCGTCAATTGGGTTTGAACCTGAGAAACCTGGTATACAAGTTACTTGTTCTACCAAGTACTCCACAAAGATGAAATAGTTGGTATTAGTGACCAAAGTCTACAGATAATTTTACGGGGGATTTCTAACTTGTGCGAGCTAAGGATTAACGAGGTCTTACCTTTCAACGTGTGATTCCTAACACTGGTTGAACGATAGCAAGTAAAAATCGATCGTTCAGACTAGAGCTTGAACCATCGACCAACACGGAAGTCAATTCGAGTGAGTGAACAAAGCACCCGCGTCGAACCGCCATGCTACCAACCCACCTAGTAAACATCATCTCAGTTGAACGTTATTAAATGGGTAATTCTGAATATTTCGAAAAGCTCACGTTATAAAACCAGATTTCTGAAGCGGTGTAATAATTTATTGACACAAAAATTCCTTAATGTGCCAGAATTCCTTACTGAACAGTATAAGATATAGTCGTCTGTTTCACATTATGCTGAATGTGTGTGAATACTTTCCAGATAGTGGGTGTTAGTAATCCGGTTGTTAAAATAATATTAGGATATTAGAATTTCGACAGAATTGACAGTGTGTGCAACTGCAACAACAGTTTACTCCTTCACTAGGAATCATTGATTTTTTGGAGTGAAAATGTTATTGAAGTATTTATTATGGAATATCCACATATTCTGTGGTTTTGCGGAACAAATTACTCTACTGAAAATCATGGTGAAAGTTGAAGTAGAAATAAAAAAAAAGGCTATCCAGTCGATACAATTGCTACCAATCAATGTTTTTAGCATTCAATTCAGTCACATATGTTGAAGTTTTTAAAATATCTGATATGATTGAGAAACAGGGTTGATCTTGCTATAGGTACTCTGTGTGAGATTACAGAGTGCATTATGTTATAAATGAGAAACTGGCGATAACAAAATCAGAAATACAGATAATATTTAAAAATATTGCCGAGGAATTATTTAAAAAGGTTGGACTAATAATAGAAGGTGTACATTTAGCTACTCACCGTTCTAAAACATGGTACGCTTTGTGTAGATCCAGTTTCAGAAACTGAAGCATAATCTGGTACATTACTATGTGGTTGACAACTAGATTTGAGCTTTGGTTTGGTTTCAGGTTTGTATGTTGCTGGACTAGGTGCATAGGCTGCAATAAATCAAAGAATAGTTAAAAAGTTTTGGGGAAAACAAACAAAAAAAGGCATGATAAAAGGTTTTTCTCACTTTATTTTCAGGCTTATACCAAAATGTTTAGCGCCAAACACTTGGATTTAGAGTCTTACCATTTTCATGTTATTTTTTTACTTAGATTTTTAGAAGATTCTTAAGGAGTATATACGCTGGGTAGAAAAATTTCTTTGGTCTTCTAGCTATTTCATTTTCTTCATTACTTTCCAAAAGTTGTAGCCCTCCAATATGATTACGCAAAATGGCGTTTTAAAAAAATAATATGAGCACAACCAAATAAACCGGATTTATTTAATACCTAAACCAAAAACCTTTTTTGAAAGGTGACTGGGATACTTTGATTATACGTACCTTTTACTTCGTTGAATCTTTGAATTTTTGCCTTACTAAAGGACATTTTTGAATAAAATAACCACTAAAATATATTGGAGTTTCAAGTGTTAAGAGTATTGAGAGTTTGGAAGCAGTCTTTTAAATTAATTACTGGTATTATTTCTCACACCTATTCACATTGCGTGAAACTAGCACTGATATATCAGGGATATTCTAAGTTCTAGGTAACTTGCGCAAAATACTATAAAAATAACGAACTGTATGATAATTTAGGCGCCCAGACAGCTGCTGACCGTTACATTATTATGCAATATACAAAGAAAACCAATCAAAAGCGATAAATAGGAAAACATCATTTTCTATTGGTTCATTTAGAACGAAAAGCACGTTTGCCAAATGTAAACAAATATTGAATTGTTCCAGGAACTTTATTAATCAAATACAACTTTTACTTTCAATAATTTTTTTTCAACCCTAAGCCATGAGAGTTGAATATTTTCTACTCCTCTGTCTTATGAATCAAAATTATACGATAAAAATTTTGTTTACAGGCTAAGTCAATCCCGAAAATTATAAAAAAGGACTCGATAATGAAAATCTGGCATCGTTGTTAATAGTACTGGCATAGTACATGGTGTACTGTTTGGTAGAAAAGTTTTTGCTGTAGTACTGGCGCATAAAATATATTTTGACAAATGATATGTTACGTATTTCCTATCTAATTAGATTTTTATGCAATTTACTGACATCTGAAATTTAATATAAAAACAGATTTTAACAGAGAAACAGCATTGCTATTGTGATTATTATTTCATCAAACAATAAACCGTCTCATTATGTGCAACCATTAAAGCAGCTTTAAAACGTGTTTCATATGTAGCTGTTATATAAAATTTAATATTATATGTAATTTGGTAATAGATTCGTAAACATTGAGAATTGGAGATAAAATAGTAAGTAAGACCAATTAATGTGGGAGTAAATATCTATTACAGATGCTGGAATTTGATGATGTGGAGATGCAATAAACTGTAATAAACATCTCTTGACCAATGAAGAAAAGACACGCAATCAAAAGACACATGTTCAGTAATCAAAAATTGATTCATTTGAAAATTTGATGTCATTGACTTGTTGCAGATAAGAGAAAGATGATCTCCAGAAAACTACTTATTTTATTTATTTCCACTGGAGTGGTTTTAGCCCTGCCTAAGGAAGAAACTCACAGCGAGAGGGTTTACAACAGAGATTTGAGTGACAAGGAACATTTTGAAAATGAGCATCATAATCCTGAGTATGACCATGAAGCCTTTCTCGGAGAGGAAGCTAAAACTTTTGACCAGTTACCACCTGAGGAAAGTAAACGACGACTAGGGTGAGTTGAATCACAACTTTTCAAAAATGAGATCCTTTTTCACTAAAAAATCTAGTTGAAAAACAAATTTTGGATCATAGTAGTAGTAGTAGTAGTAATTGAAGCAATATACAGTTCCTTACTAGTGAACATAAATGTTTATCAGACTAGTTAAATACGAATTTAAAAACTAATTTAAAATCTTGATATCAAAATAATTACTTATATGNATATATATATATATTACAATGTAGGTTTTCACGGATGGTAGAATATGATGTGTTGTTTTTCCGGGTGTTCATCCGTTGTGTACTATTCGATAGTCTCGATAGTCGACGTTTCGCCATCATCTCAGATGGCATTATCAAGACGAGTTACTGCTTCGCTTCGAGAGGTGTATATATATATAAAGTATATAAGTTGATAATTAATTGTAATAATCTATTTAATATTATTTGTATTTAGTAGCTTTACAGCAAAATAAAGTCAGTAGTGTTATTATTTAATAATAAATAATTTCTAGATTGATTGTGGACAAAATCGACAGCAACAACGATGGGATTATAAACCGTGAGGAACTCAGGGACTGGATTCGTTTCACACAAAAACGGTATATCACGGAAGATGTAGACCGTCAATGGAAACAGCAGAACCCAGAAAATAATCCCACCATATCGTGGGAAACTTATCAAAATATGGTCTATGGTTTTCTAGATACCCTCAGTCAATCCGAAATTGAAAAGGATGACGGAGGTAAATTAAGTTTGTTGAATCACCACTTTTTTGTAATATTCTCACTTTGCAGGATTCTCATACAAAAAAATGTTGAAAAGAGATAGGAGACGTTGGGCAACAGCGGATAAAGATGGAGATGATGCCTTAACCAAAGAAGAGTTCTCAAATTTCCTGCACCCGGAAGAAAGTGATTACATGCGTGATATTGTGGTTTTGGAAACAATGGAAGACATTGACAAAGATCAAGATAAAAAAGTTTCTTTAAAGGAATATATCGGAGATATGTATAGGTAAAACAATATTTCCAATTGAATATTTTTGTTTCAATACTCACAAAAGGAGGGATAGAAAGATTAATCAGAAAAGGGATCAGTCAGGAAAGAGAGATAGTTCAGTAAGATAAATGGAGAAAAAGAAGTTAATTTGAAAGAGGGAGATGTGAGTCAGAAATAACTAATGACAGTTCAATTAGAAAAATGAGAGAGGGCATTAGTCAGAAAAAATTGGGAGGTTAGCCAGAAAAAGGGAGAGATATTAGTCATAACAAAAGGGATATGCCAGAAATAAAAAAAGAAGAGATGGGTTAGTCAGAAAAAGAGTGATAGGTAAGACAGAAATAGATAAGTTGGCCAGAAAAGAGGGTGCATGGTTAGTCAGAATGAGAAGGTAAGATTAGTCAGGAGAAGACAGAGGTCAGAAAAAAATGGAGAGGGAGTAGTCAGAGAACAAAAATATCAGATTAAAAAAACCGTTATTAAGAAAAGAGAGGCCAGTTAGGAAAAAAGGACCAGAAGTAAGTCAGTAAAACTAGAGGTTGGGTTTGTCACAGAAAGAGATTAATCAGGAAGAGGAGTATAATTATTCAAAAAAGAATCAGAGAGATGTTAGAGATAGGGAGAGAAATAGAAGTTAATATGTGGTGTTTGCTAAAAAAAAGGTACATAGTGTACGAAAACAAGTTTTTAAGAAAAATGCCATCTAAGGTTTTGCAGTGTAATACTACTATGTGCACTCTTTCAGTGGGATGTCACGTATTGATATCATTAGTCTGGGTATCTGTGACGTCATTCCTTCAATCTGTGATGTTTATTCTGAATGTAGTGTGGCGGTAGCTTCAGTTATCGAGTCGAAAAACATGCTGTAACTCAAAAACCATGGTAGATATCGATATGCAGATTTCACCATTGAGATTGCCATAAAATTTGACCCTCAGGCACAGCCATCAGTTTTCATCTACCTAGTTTAAAAACAGATGCCTAGCCAGACAGGGGCTAGAATGAGCTTTGATAGAGGAAACAAACAAGTTGAAGAAAAATTGAACACATATAATTTGGCACTTCCATTAAATTTCCTGATTTTGTTTTTCAGAGGTGAAGAGGGAGAAGAAGAACCAGATTGGGTCATAAGCGAGCGGGAGCAATTCAACACTTACCGTGACAAAGACGGTGATGGCTTCATGGATGAAGAAGAAGTTAAGAACTGGATCTTACCTCAAGACTTCGATCATGCCGAAGCAGAAGCAAGACACCTCATATATGAGGCGGATTCTGATGCAGACGAACAACTAACGAAAGAGGAAGTTCTCAATAAGTATGACCTGTTTGTCGGCTCACAAGCGACTGACTTTGGAGAAGCTCTTGCTAGGCATGACGAATTCTAAAGATATTTTAAGAAAAGGTGAGAAGGTTTCATGGAAGAATCTCCCTCCTAGAGGTTAGGATGAGGTCGTTGATAAAAATGTTATTGTTTGGAGAAAATTTTCTTCGTAAACGATGACAAGGAATCTCCATTTGGACTTTCGTCTTCATTTCAACATTCCTTTTGGAAAATCCTGTGTTTACTCGAAAGTTAAAGTTTCTAGTCCCCAAAATATTTTTATTCTATGAATGTCACTGCCTTAATTGAAATATGTACTTTAGTAAAAATGGTGGAATTAATTGTTTCAAGAATGAAATTTTAAACAAAGGGAGGATTTCACATAAAGTTGGAACAGAAAAAGGTACTGGGAAAGATTGAAGTATTTATTTGTTTATTTGTAAGGTACTGAAGAGAGTCTCCAAACGCTATAAACATTCAACATTTTATCTTACTCAATATTTTTCTGTTGTTCTGGATGTTTTTTTTTTCTGTATATGCTTTGCAAATTTATGTGGTAGCTTCATACTAAACCTATCCTTTTCCGAAATATTACCTCCTATTGAGAGATTTTGATCTTTTGGATTCTGAATGAAATTAAACCACTATGATATTTAATAAATGATTTTTTTGAGACTGAGTATATCAATATTTTTGCGTTACCTATTTTTGTCAGTATTCAAACAAATGAAACCTTTTTGCTTGGACCGAAACCAAAAATTAATTTTTAAGTTGGAGCCGCTTCTGAATACTATTCTCGAATAAAAGTACTAATGTAAGTTATTGATATAAATATAACATACTGGTAGTAATGAAAAAAATAAACGATTTTTATACAACAAATGTATGTGCCATTTAGTGATTTTACTGATATTTTTTTCCATATCTGATTGGGAAATGTTGGATATTGTACTTGAATTGTTGGTGCTTTAATAAATGCTGAAATGGTGCGAAATTGTTTCATTTTCAAATGTTTTTAGCTTTAATATAAATAGCACTACTGATGAAACTCATAGCGGGTCGAAACCTGCTTTCTAGTATGGAAAACAAATGTTTTGATTTTGGGCTCCTGTTGCAGCCATTGAGAAACTTCAATTGGTTATCATTAAGAAAACTGAGCTGATGTTGTTTGCATCTTGTAAATTGATTTTTCCCCATCCTGTAGCTTACATAAAGTTTCTGATAATTCTTGAATTTTATTAGAAAAATTCTGCATAAACTTTTTATATCTACCTTCAAAACTATAAGTATATTTTCTGGAATATACAATTCCTCTCAAACTGAATTCATTCACAGTTTCAGCAATAGCCAAAATGTGGGCTTGTCATGGAAGTTTAAGTTTTTTCCAATAGCAAATTGTGAACAGATTTTCAGTATCTTTGCAAATAAAGAAGATACAGCAAAAAATGGATTTTGATAGTCTCGGTTTTCTCCGTATATTTGTGTAAGCAAGAGAGTCACATTCGATTTTTTGGTATCATACAGTAGTACCTGAAAATAGGTAACTTACTGCAATTTAACTGATTCTGTGTTTTTTTTTACAATTTTCCAAATTCCCAAGCATAGCCCTGAATATAGTAGAATCTTTGTCAAAAACCCACATAACCTATGTCAAGTAACATATTTATTCGGTCATTTGACAATTTTTTTCAATACATCATGTCCTTCTCTTATGAAAACACCTATCTATGCTTTCAGAAGATAGATAGTGATCTTCTGCATTCGATGAAAAATCTGAACTAATTTTTTTTTAAAACAAACAAGGAAATAAAATCAGAGTACATTCAGCAAACTGTCAAGAAAAATAAGAATTCTATGAATTACATTTTCTGTGCCTAATAGAAATAAATTTGACAATAAAAATAAAACTCCTTTCAACACAAAATGCGTTTATTTCTTATACATTGGTAGTACAGAAGTTCAATACAAAAAAATTGATATTACAAAATGCTAGCAAAATAACTATTATATTCCTAGAAAAATTTATTTTGAAATATCATATTCTCTACACTGACCCCAGATTTTTGACTAGTTATCAGAAAAAATGTATAGTGAAATATTCAATGCGAGATACAAAAGTATAAAATATATAAACTTTTAAGAAGGAAATTTATGAAACACTTTGTGTCTGAATGCATACTTAGTAAAGATAACTAGGGAATATACAAGGAGAATCAAAATACAAATTGGATCGATTTTGATTTCCCCAAATTTTGGTTCTCCCTGTACTGGAAATGAGTAAAAATTTCTCGGCGAGAACATACCCTACAAACTAATCCTCACTTATATACAATATTGTTTCAACAACTTTTTTGAGACATCAGAAAAGTGGATAGTAATAAATAAATCACTGCTTCTTTATCACATCATTTTGATTCTTATGACTGATTCAAAATTATCATTTATATCACTGTTATCCTAAGTCTTACCATGGAATTTCATAAAACAAACATAACACTAATGAGATAAAAGTTAATAAATACGAAATATTCCTCTCGACACCTGAAATGCCAAAAGGCAATTTAAAGAAAAGGGGGAAAATGACAATATCCTGATTGGTTTTGCGCTAAACAGAAAACAAATGTCGAGGAGGATTATTTCTAAAAATTAGTAAATATGATTAACCTAAAAATAAATTTTTTTCAGAAAACTGAACCGCTTCAAGAATTACTTCATTGTGTTATGTAATTATTCAATATTAACTACTTGTACATCTAAATTGAGCGTTTGTAGTAGCCTACCTTGGTCAGTGAATATATATAGATTTTCTGATATAATTCTAGTATTTCTCACAGAGAACAAAATATGAGTTTTAGTTTTTGACGTAGTGTTTGTTTTTCTCCACAATTATTGCTATTCCAATAAGTAGTAGTTTAAAAAAATTGTGAAAATTAAAAAAATCTATTGAGAGAAAATAATCATAGTTTTGAAAACATTTAAAACCATAAAGCTTATTCTTATTAGTATGGCCGGGACTTCTAAATATCAATAAGGGTTTTTTTAATATGCAGATTGCCACTTTATCTTTCACATAAGTTTATAATTTATAAAATTATATATTCCAGGTATGGATATTACTTATTATTGTCTTCATTGTGTTTCTTCCTTTTTTGTGAATTTACCATTTACTTTATAGGATGAATAGCAAAAATAGTGAAAAACAAACTAGTGCTGAAATTTTAAGAGTGTTTACCATAAAACCAGCAGTTATATGATATTTTTTGTTATAAATTGATTAATTAAAGTACGAATGTGAAATCCGCACAGAAGTAATCTCATTTTCAGAATGACAATAATTTATTTTGAAAAAATCATTTAAAACTTTAGCTTCGACTATGAAAACACACTAGTCAACTGTGGAATAAGTCATGAAACATTCTAAATATATGCATTTGAAATATTTTACTTTCCTGAAACTTTTCAGGCAGCAAGTACTAACTAACCAAGAAATAAAAGATAATGGATTAACAGGTTGATAATATCAAGACGGTACTTGATTTAAAAAATTTGTAAATAGAAGCTTTATTGGAGGAATCACCTGTGAGACTCAGTGGTGGGCCTTTTTCATAACTACTTACATTCTGAATGAACCTCAAATGTTAGACTCCATTCAGTTCGTATATTTTTCAATTTATAAAACAAGGCCCTCAAAATTCACTGTCACATATTAACTCAAAGAGTATATAAACCTAAAGCTGGAGAACAGCCTAAAAATCAATATTAGTACTGGACATTAGATAGTTTTTGGTCAAAAATGGAATATGTTCCCTCATTACTTCAAAAATGAAAAATGAGGCAATATTTTTTTAAATACGATTTGGTTATTATTTCCATTGAAAAATGCATATGTCTAAATTACATAACCCCTGAAATAGTTGCGGCTATTAGAAAAACATAATGTATATAAAAATATCATCTCTAACAAGGAATACCAAGTCATACCAGATTGGGCTGGATTCATAATGGACTACAAATGACTACAGAAAAAAGCGTTGAAAAATATCATAACCTAACGAAGATAGAAAGATATTTCCAGTCAATGAACAGGTATAAATGAATTCCAAAGGTTGCTGGAATAAAAAGCTGAATCATATTTTTATTGGGATGATTAAAAAAAAAGTATAACAAAATGCTATGATGATTTCATGTTCGGTGGAAGGTTTAAATAACTTTACCAAATGACATTATTGACCATCTGGAAAGTAAAAATACTTTTGCATTGAGTTTCCCTTTCAATGAATTGAATTTCCAACAACGAGCAATTAGCAGTAAGAAAATATTAATAATTTTCGTGAAATCAATACAATAGGAAAACTGTGACGCCCACTTTATGGTAAACACTTTTGCTTGATATTGATTCTACCTCATTACAAAATTCACAATGAAATATTCAATCTTACCATTCGCACCTTAAAACATAATTGTAACACAATTAGGAGTTTTCGAAAGTAGGACGAGGGCAGCTTTCAAAATTAGAAACATATGTGATATGTAAAAAATTGAAAAAAGTCCGTCTTCACTGAAAGCGTCCTATTTCTGTTCTTCAGTCTTTCTATGGGATCCAGTATCTTTTTTTTTGTTGCCCCATGTCCTAATCTTTCTAGTTACAAACATGAGTTATATAATAGATGAAATCATTACCAATGGCTTTCCATATTCTAAAAGTAGAATCTGATAAGCCATGCCTCACTTCTTGTCCCAAAATATATTGATAGCTTTCACAGAATTCGTAAACATCAGTTTTGCATTTCATCGTCATAACCCTTTGAGCTAATATTTATCTGCAATATATTGAAGGTTGAAAGTTATAGAAAGAGCATCTACTTGTGACAATTTCATACCCATGAACCGTTCGCATCCAACTTACCCATAGTAACTAGCGTTACTTGAAAAAATTCTATATGGAGCTACTGGAATCCCCAGGAAAATGCAGAAAAGCCTCACCATAAGAGGGCGTTGGTGAGGCACGGCTCGTGGAACTGAAACTGCTTGAGCTGAGTTCTTCTTCTCCTAAAATCAATCAAAAGGTATGGATCTTTTTTATATAAATAAAATAGCATAGAATTAGCTTCGGTCATACGAATCAAATTGTAATACACATAATTACAGATTTATTAAGCTGTAAGGTGGAAAAATGGAAACACAATCAAGACCTCCACATATATCCTCTTCCATTACATATCAAGCATGTTACATAAATCTATTGATTCTCTTTTATGTATTTTTTAAATTGTGGTCCCCCGCGTATGTTACATTTTCCTTTTTAGCATAGAATATACACAGGATACAACGCAATGACCGTCGGTTAGCCATATTTTGGGAAATAATAGGATTCATATCCTGAAAATTGGAAAACATAGGATTTTTAATGTGCTTTATCAAATGAAAATAACGGCGTTTTTCCCATACTTCCGGTTATACCGGAAGTTGGTATCAACTTCCTTATTCAAATTTAACACCCTGTATATTTTCACACTTTTGAATACCTGGCACAGTTCTAATGTGATTTTATGCATTCCAGCCTATACAAAAATGAACCGTTTTCGAAATATTAATAAGCATTCCAGATTCCCCTGATCCCTTGATCTATATGAATAGTATCAAAATATCCGAAAACTTGATATTATATAACACCAATTTACAAGAACTTATGGCTACTATTAGTAGCATAAAAAAACAAAAAGTGTTGTGGGTATGACACTATCTCAGTTAGTATCAATGAAAACATGCCTATTTTCGTTTTAGAATTACTAGTCCAACTTATTAACAACTCGTTTGTGACGGGAACATATCCGGACTTCCTAAAAACCACTATAGTAATTCCAATCTATAAAGGTGGTGATATTAATGACCCTTATAGGCCAATATCGCTTATACCAATTCTTGGTAAAATCATTGAGAAACTAGTAAAGGTAAGAATAATGGAGTTCGTGGAAAAAAATAAAATTCT